CAGTCGCTGAAGAGGCGACACCGATGCGGGTTTCTTGGGTGGCGTTGATGGACTCGAGTTCGCTGCGGACGAGCGTGGTGCTTATTTCGAGGGCTACGACGAGGATGCGGGCGGGCTGGCGTCGCATGGTGTGCCCCAGGCACAGGTTGGCGGCTGTGCGGAGGGCCGCGAGACCGCCGCTGCAGCCTACGCCGTGGAGGAGGACTTTTTCTGTGTTGGGGCTCAGGCCGAGCTCCGTCGCGACGAAGTGGTCGTACCCCGGGTTGGCTGAGTTGGTGCATGTTGTCGAGACCATGTGGGTTACTTGCGCTGCCTCCACGTGCGCTTCAGCCAGCGCTTTTCGAGCGGCACTGACGGCGAGCGGGACGCCCTCCTTCATGAAAATGTCGTTGATCTCAGTGATGGTTGGTGGATTCGGTTGATTGACCAAGGGGTGGTCGGGCGTGCCTATCGAGGAGCGCTGGTCGATGCCTGTGTACCGGTTGATGGCAAGCACCTTGCTCATTCTAGCCTCTGAGGTTAGTTTCTATTCCGAAAGGAGGTGGTTTCGAACTCACGCTGGGGATTCTGGGTAGAACCGCTTGCTTAGAATTTCGAGCGACTCGGGCTTGAGGTCGTAAGGCGGGTACTGAGCCCCCAGGCCTAGAATGGAGAGACCAAGGTCCTCGAATTCATTTTGCGTAGCCATGTTTGCCATCTACCGAGGATATCGCTGGCGTACAGATACACCGTTTTCCAGGGTGGGCAGCAAATGCTCTATCCCTTCCGCGGTATGACTATGAGACTGCCAGCAGCAAACGTCGGCAAGCGCACTGGTCAATGCCAATGTGATGTTGTCTTTGGTAAACGCTAGCGAATCTGTTGGCGTTTCGATTCGCGCTCCTCACTCACTTTGGACGAACGGGATGAAAGGTAACGGGAAGTGAGGTGACGTTGGTGGCTGCTTGTTTGGAGGGGGGGTTGTAAACGACGACTTGGCCGCAGAATTGGCTCAGAAATGGCATTGACATTTGAGAGATAGCGAGCTCAAGGCATGTACCCGTATTTATATGAGTGAGAAGTGCCCATGGCAGGAATCTATAAAGTGAAACAAGCCCGCAACTGGCCCATGGCACCTGGAAGGTGCAGATGCATCTAGCGCCGTTGTTTAATGCAAGGTCATTCTGTGTGCCGTCATCCATTTTAAAACTTGGTCTCCCTGTTCTGGTTTAGGTATCTTGGCCGCAGTTCGGAGAATCCCATAATAACCCTCATGCTGCCCGGATACCCGGCGAGTGGGCTCCCGATCTCGAGTTCGCACGTGCAACCATTCCAATCGCGGCGGACCGCTTCTAAGCCGCAATCAAGTGTTTTTCTACCTGGTGCAGTGCAGGGCGTTGGCGTTGTGGTGGTGCGTCAGAGATTGGTTTCGCTTTGTGGTACAAAATCGGCTTGGCACCCGCGCACGGGCTTTCAGGCTGCACGCCATGTGAAATCGTTCGGGAAGGTAGCGTCATTGTAACGTCTTGGGCAGGGATTTTAGCCATGAACTCATTTTGGCCAACAAAACGACCTGGACAAAGTGCCCTTGCATCCGAGGCTGAAAACCTCCCTCGTTCCTTCCATCAGCGACGAAACCATCCACATGTGCTTCGGCCGCTAGGTCATTCAGCAGGCCTGCGGCACGCGGGTGACGAAGTTTCGTCTCGCCGGGCACCGCGGCGGCCCGGAGGTCAAGGCCCTGCGGTATATGCTGTCTGTGGAAACCAAAGCGTGGGTGGATCGCCAGATCAGGGGCTACATTCAGCAACTGCGCACCGTCAAGAGTCCGGGGTGGGAGCATTTGCTCGTTTGCGGGCGCAAGGCCGCCCATAGCCGCGAGATGCGTGTCAATGGGACAGACAACCGCAAGCTGGTAAATTGATGGCCAAAGGCCGTCGTATCTGGTGGTATGGCGAGGGTGGTTGTCGACTTTCTAGTGGGGTGGATATCACCAAGGCCTACCTGCTGAGCTGTACTTCCGAAAGCTCCGTGATATCAGACAGATTCAACAATGGCTTCAGCAGCGCTTCACTGCCCATGAGCCAGAAGAATAGCCTAATTGCCCATATCAAGTTATATAGTATAACATTCTCAGCTCGATAGATCACGCCAAGTGGTGGTACCAAAGTAAGTAAATACTTGACTGTAAAACCGTACCGTCATTAATTGTTTTATTTAGACTGATATATTATACTTGGTACTACCATTAAGATACAGATCGACTTTCAGGAGAAGGGCAAGAACACTCCGAAGCGCTACAAATATAACAACGACGTGATTTCCCACCTATATAGATCGATGACCAGTCATCCGGACTGGCAAGCGAACAGACCCGATCGTAAGGAGTTCTATGCTATCTCCCGCAAAGGAAACAACCAGACCTGCACCACAGCCAAGAAGCGGAAGTTTAGGGGGCCAGCGGACAATCCACTTCTCTTTTCCCAGTGGGTAAATGAGGAAGAGGAACAGCTTAGCGGTGCAAGGCGGGTATCCACGAGCCGGGGCATATTCGCTCACAGCAGCGAGTGCTCTCTCTTCGGCTTACGACCTTAAGCGGCTTATTTATTATTATTATTTCCTACACCGATATGCCCGTGGGCGCGCCGGTCCTTCTACTGCTATTTACAAAGGAAACCGTACCGTATAGGCCGGATAAAAACCTCTGTCTACCACTTTGAGTCAACAATCTATGAATCCGTCATACTGCAAAAGAAAGGAGGCCCTTTGCCGGCCTCCGGGCCCTCTAGCCCTCCCCATCCACTGTTTCTAGCTCCAGCCTTCTGGCCAGCCTATACTCCAGTAGCCGGCCAGAGTCCATCAGCCAGCCAAGGACCTTCCTAACAAATCTTCTGCTCCGCGCACCTACTCCCCGTAATACGGTTTGTAGGTCCCGATGTGACCGAATCTCTTTGCCGTCCCACGGCCTTTGTAACGGCGGGTCGGGGCACCAAACCCACCAAGTGCTCCACCGTCTCCCTGCCTCTCCCGCACTCGCAATAGGGGGTACGGACCTCCGGGACTTTCACCCTGAACAGGTAGTCCCGGAGGCCTATATCCCCGATACGGGCCTGGGAAAGGAGGGAGCTCTGCGCCTTTGTAAGACCTTCGTGTCTCATCAGAGCTTTGTCGGTAAATAAGAGGGCTGGGGGGTCTTCGTCGGCTATCCTCCTGTTTAATACCCTCTGTCGAGTAGTACTTTGTTGACTAGCTCTCTGTTGTTCCCACCGGGCCTGCCAGGCCAGTTCGACCACCTCCTTGGTATTCGACCCCTTAACCTTCCCCCCGATCTTCCATTTGTAGTTAACCCACTGGGCCACTACACTAGCGGCTAGTTCAGTGGGCGTGGGACTCTGCGGGCCCTGACGGGGCCTCCGGCCTCGGGTTTTCCTCCTCTTGTTGAACCTTCGGTAGACCTTATTGCAGGCCTCAGTGATTAGATGCCCCGTGGTTATTCTCTCAGCCTCCGGCCCAGCCCCTGACTGTAGGGCCTGCTTCTGTAAGCCGGCCCTCGAAGTCGGCCAAGCCGCTTGTTGAGATATAGGTCTAGCGGTGGCACCCAGGCCTCTGTTTCTAAGCACCGAATAGGAGCTGACTTGTATGCCCCTACTACTATTCGAAGGCTCCTGTTCTGAGCTTTTGACAAGACCTTTGCAGGCCCCTCTCGGCCCTGTAGCTCTTGGAGCTGTTTGGTTGGTGGAAGCTGGAGGCTCCGTAAGCTATGGCACTGCGGATGCACTTTACGTAGACCTCCCGAGCCCTGGATAGGCTCGTGCCCCACGTCTTTGCTGCAATCCTCGATAAGGCGAAATCTTGGGTTTTGAGTTTCCGTTCCACAGCTTGTTGGTGCGCCCTCCATTAAGCGGCTTATTTGTTGAAGCCGTTCCTTCCTCTAAGCCGTAGAGTGACTGCTCTCGAAGGCAAGAGCGGTTGGGTACTAGCTCGAGGGAAGGAGCGGGCTGTGGATCGAACCGGTTAGGTGCTCTAAGCCGGCAACGTACCGTCAACCTCCTGCTCACTCGCCTGGAGCTGCTCTTTTTGCTCAAGCCGGGATAAATTCGCTCAAAGCGTAAGCCGTCAAAGGCTTTTCAGTCTCGGCATGGGGCGGTAATGAGCCCAACGACGAGTCAGCCACCTCCCTCGGTACCATAACACATTATTCCGGGGCCTGCTCACGAATTTCACATCTAGCACTTAACTTGGCCGCAATATAATGAGCAAAGTCGATGAGCATGACACATCGGCGTTCCTCGTTCCAGAGAAAGTTACGTGGGTGCTCATTCCCATGATCGACGCCACGCTGGAGGATCGCTCGTGAGGAAGCGCTGCACTTCCACGGCGAGATCTTCAGTGCTCAGACTCACCGCCGCCTTTGGTGGCTCGCCGCCCCACGACATCAACATCATCTAAAAGGCCTTGGCCCCCCCGGGGAGAATGTAGCTCTAGCTCAGGGGGATAAGCCCAAGTACACCGGCACCACCTCACCCTAGAGTGTTTTGAGACGTGTATAGACCTCGGGTTCGTGCTGTAAAAAGCCAAGATCGTGGAATAGCACCCCCTTGCCGAGAAAAGCATACCCGTATGGGGCAAGTTCAAGCTCGAAGAGCACTCCTATCGCCCCAACCTTGCCCCAGCCGTTCAGCAGCGCAATATTGATATGGGTTGTGACATAGCCGCTTCCCTACCAGGTGGACGAACTCATCGACGGTGATGGGGTGCATATTGCCATCCCGGAAGGTACCGGGTGAGAACATTGGGGTAGTTATCATCGAGAGGTAACCCCTTCTTGAGGCCCAGCAGGCAAGCTTGTGTGCAGTATCGCTTCGTGGGCCTGGCCTTGAACGTCCCGGTGTTCTGGACATCAGAGCTGCCGCTAGAGCGCCTTTCTTTGAGCTGGTTTGGGCCTGCCATCAGGCGGTAATTGATATGTGCCTTTGAGACTGGCGGCCTTTATCTGCGAACCGGAACTTGTTGTAGATATGAAAGTGACAGTCGTACAGGTGTTCCTCCGGTGTGGCCTTTCGTTAGGATTCTGCTCGTTCCAACCACCCAATTTCTTCATTGGCCCGGGTAAGCATCTGCCGAAGCCTGGTGACCTCTTCGGAGTTGTCTGCCATTATAGTTGTTGTAGGTTACAACCGATCGTGAGCTGTGGTGGTGTTTGTTCAGGTATAGCGTCAAAGTAGAAATAAGAAAAGAAAAAAAAAAAGTAACTAATCATTATGGAGGTACAAGTTTACGATCGCACCCTCGGGCTAAAAAAAGTTGAATTGGAAAGAGGAAATCAATAAATCAGATAAAAGAAACCAAGTCAAATAAAAGTAGGAGGCGACTGTGTTCATCGGTTACGGGACTGAAAACAAAATTAAAGTTTTAAACATATCTGCGCGTCCCCTTGGGCGTATGAGATACAAGACTATCCGTCTCCGAACTACCCCGAATATACACAGCTGATAATGTAAGATGAGCCTACCAAGACTCCGGAGGTATCAAAAATATTCAGCCTGCTCGCCTGCTGTCCACAGCGCAATTTACAATCCCCCAGAAGCCAGGGACCACTTTTGCAATACCAGCATGCCCAAGCGCACTGTTTGGTTGACGTGCATGCCTCATCCTCAGGCCGTCTTCTTCCACTGCAGGTACACGCCGATCAGAGAGCTCAGCGTACCCGCAAGACCAACAATGCCGTCATCGAAGTGAACCCAGCTGAGGGCCGACAAAGGCACCGTCAGATCACACAGGTCCGAAGTGAGCTGCAGCCGGCTAGCCGCGCGTTCCCTGCGATACATCGTTAGCACACTGCACCGGTTTCACCTCCCCCATCAACAAAGACATGAACCAAAAAATAAAATAAAAACTCACATGGCAATCCTCTTCCCCTCCAACACGCCCTCACCCTCCTTCCGATCCACCGTCGCCTCTCGCAAACGCAGCTGGCGTAGGGTATACATCTGGGCGATCACGCTACACGCGATGCCAAACGCCCAGAAGCGGTAGGCCTCCTGCTGCAGGCGCTTGGCGCGGGGGCTCTTGCGGATTCCCGTCGCGTCGAGCACGGTACCCAGGTCCATAGTCAGGTAGCCGGCGTAGCCGAGCTGGCGGCCGACGGCCGTGTAGCGCAGCACGGGGTCGGCGGTCTTGGAGGCGTCGGCGGCGACGGCGGCGGCCTTGAAGTGCTCGACGTTCTTGCCCGCGCGCAGCACCTTGCGGATCAGGCCGAACTGCTTCTTCATCGTTTCCCATGGCTGGATCGAGGCCTGCGTCTTGTTGGTCCGCAGCAGGTACCACGCGTAGAAGCGCGCAAAGTACTGCAGCGTGCGCAAGAGCTTGTCGCGGCCGACGGTGGTGGCGACGAACTTGAGGTAGTGCGAGACTGCCGGGTGGTAGATGAGGGTGTCGGCGACCATTTTGGCGGCGGTGATTGGGCCTTTCCTTTCGTTTCCTCGGCTGGTTTAACTGCGGGTGTGTAGGCGCGGCTGTGGATGTGGGTGGTGTGCGAACGTGGGTGTAGGTGTGGGTGGGTAGCGTCAATCGATTGGGGGATTATTCGTATGTTCGGTCGGATTGCTGCGGTGAATGGAATTGGCTTCGTTTTCCGGGCCTATTACGGCGGTAGTTGAGAGAAAAAGAATCGGGAAGGCGGTTGATCGAGGTCGGATGGCGGAAGGTGAGGGTTACAAAGGGATGGGGTCATTGGGATGAGATGGCTCGCGCGATGCCGCAATGCGCACATGCCGAGGTTGCGCCCGCTGCCGCGACTGCAGTGCGAGCCGAAGGGGACAAGGAGCAAGGAACGGAACAATGCGGGGCTTGTTTCGGCTGATAGTTCAATGCAATGCCCAAAAGAAAAGCCGATCAGCCAACGAGGTCAGGGTTAGGGCTGGTTATGCATGTCCATCTCCAACTTGTCATTTACACTCGGCATTCCTACATACAATATCCTTCTCTACGGTCCTAGCATGCCAACGCTGAAATTGTGCCATTCAAGTGCCAGATCTCACAGTCCCAAAACGCAGCCCAACCCCTCTGCCTCTCCCCTATCTACACTTTATGAAACAATTATAGCTTTGGCGAGGGGGTAAATAACCCTAATCTTTCCTTCAGCGTTTCCTCTGCCTCCTTCTCGATCCTCGCGACGAGGTCCTTGCAGTTGGGTATATCGTGGATCAGACCGATAACCTGGCCCGCCGTCCAGACGCCATACTCCGGGTCACCATTTACGAACACCTCGCGGCCGCGCTTGCCGCTGACGTATGGCGCGATCTCGGAAAACTCTCCCGTCTTGCTCTCGTGTTCCACCTTGAGCGCCTGCTCGGTAACCTTGTTGCGGTACAAGCGCGTCGTGTTGCGCCAGCGCCGCAGAACGAGAGCAGTGTCGGTCTCCTCCGATTTTACAATCTGCTCCTTGATGTTGTGGTGGATCGGACTCTCAACAGTGCAGAGGAACCGCGTGCCCATGTTGACACCACAGGCGCCGAGGCACAGCGCCGCCGCAAGGCCCTGTCCATCGGCGAAACCACCCGACGCAATGAAGGGCACCTTGAGTGTTTGCCGCGCTCGGCTGAGCAGGATGAAGTTTGTGATGTCCGACTCACCCACGTGGCTAGTCATTGTTATTAGTTCTCCCCTTCAAGCCAGATTTGTGCATGTTTGACTCACCCAGCGCACTCGAACCCATCAATGCTCAGAAAGTCGACGCCGAGCTTGATCGCGGACTGGGCGTGCCTGATGGTTGTGCACTTGTGCAGGACGATACAACCGGCCTTCTTGAGCTTCGCGATGACCGGACCTGGTGAGTTCCCGGCCGTCTCAACGATTTTGATGCCCTCGTCAATGGCGACCTGCGCATACCCCTCGTAATCAGGCGGGACAATCGCCGGGAGAAGGGTGATGTTGACACCAAACGGCTTGCTCGTCAACTTCCTGCACTTGCGGATCTCCTGGCGCAGCCCTTCCGGCTCAGGCCAAATCAGGGCTGTGATGATACCCAGGCCGCCCGCATTGGACACGGCACTTGCCATCTCAGCAGTTCCAACATGCTGTGAAATGTTAGTTTTTTTTTTCTTTTTTTTTTTTTCTTGTACTCGAGTCAAGAGAGGTGAGTTGCTTGCCTGCATGCCACCCTGCACAACGGGGACTTTATATCGCCAATAAGAGCCATGTTAGCGTCTGAAATCCACATTGCTATGTCGGCAGGTCGGAAGGCATCTATAGGTATGTAAACCGCCTCTTTGAAATACGTACCTGCAATCCCGAGACGGCGAGTCAATTCCGTGTTGAAGGGCATCTTTGCGATGGGCGCACGCGGAGCAGTTCAGTGGAGGATGGAGGTGAGTGGGCCGATGGTGAGACGCGCACGCAAATGTCTACCAATTTTGACGCCGATTTCACTGCACAAGGACCGCGATTCAGAGCGAGGGATGAGTCGGACAAAGGAATGGAAACCAGATACGGGCCTGCTTCAAATGGTCTTCGGCCGGGTAACACTCGGGCAAGACATGGTCATGCTGCGACACGGCGAGGGGCGGTACCCTCGGCAGGGCTCCTCATCGCCGCCCCCTGCGATGGGATGGAGCCTGCCAGAGCCTGGGGTAACTGAGCCGAGGCAATTGAGGGGGCGACCATCCCCAAAACAGGCGGGTCAGGCGGGTCAGGCGGAGCGACCAAGCACATGCCTCGTGCCTCAGGTTCTCAGCTGAGCCTCGTTCGTAACGGTTTTTACATTACCTCCAATAGGTACCGGGGTTTGTTGGTATTCGTAAATACCACCGAAAGGAGAAGGTGAACATGGAAATTAGCAACGGAACCTCCTTCCTCGCTCACTTCATTCTCCGCAACCACCAACTTCAGTCCCCAACGACGAGTTTAGCAGACTGGGTTTCTCAACGACAAAACCTCGGGATTGCTGTTCGATAATTGGCCAACACTATGGCCTGGTAAACCGTCCGCCGTTGTCGGTTCAGAGCCGAGCACGCCTTGTGTCCAAGTTGAGGTTTCAAACCACAATGATGCTTCGGGCTCAGGCGGTCAGATGATTTTCTTTTCGTCGGCAACCTTTACGATTAATCCGTGGCGCCATTTTAGTGGGATCGCAACCTCCCAGGGTTGTTCTTTCAAGAGCGAATTCCCAGGTTTATCGCCGAATGACTTGTCGAAAACAGGACGACCAGGGCTACCTATTGTATGAGCCCAACGGCACGCCAGCTCAATGTTTTTGGTCAACTATGCTGCCCAACTTGAGGCGGTGATACTCGGCTGGGCCGCGTCTCTCGTCGCCGGACGCCACCTCGCAGGTGATGGTTGCCCTGTTTGACATGGCAACACGCCACTGGCACTCCGCACCAACCTACCGGAGCTCTTTTGTCTATAAACAGGCCGTCGCCCTCGTCTTTAGCGAGGATCGTTCTGACACATTTTTCTTTTGCCACGTTACTACGCGTTCTCACGTCTCTTCTGGCGCCGGCGCCGCCGAAGAAGCTTGCCAACCACGGGAATGTTACGGAAGCTTGCTTGTGCGCCGGCCATACTCGGGGGACACCCAGCGGGCCACCGCAGATGTCGCAACGTTTTGAAACATCAACATCACCGCGATGTGACGCCGGCACTCACACGTTGAGCAGTTGTCATTCACTGATTCGGTTCTTGTACTCTATCGGAGTCGCGTGGTCATCCGCACGCCGGGTTGGTCCAGGCCCGCAACCCCCCTGTATGTACCCAACTCGGGCTGATGTACGAGCCGCGTGTCACCCGATCCAACTCTGCATACCGATCAATCGACAACACTTCTTCGTCGGAGCCTGCGGCCAGGTTTCAAGCCGCACATTTGGGTATCCGATACGGTCCCGCCCCGACACTGAGTTGAGAGTCTCCGAAAACGAGGGCGAGAGGAAATTAGCGGGCTAGAAGGGAGTCTTTCACGCAATATGCCCTGGATCTAGCTCCTGGAGAGGAACACAAAGGGGTTCACTCAGACGCAGGTTGGAAGCGGCAGGGACATCCACTAGGAACGATTCATTGGCCCACAGTCCGCGTCTCCCACTCTAATGGGCTTTGCCCCCAGTCTCTCGGTTCGCTCCGGAGGCGAATCCCAAAACACAGTCGCGGAACGACCTCCGGTCAACTCTAGAAGGCCGATAGTGCTGGTAGTACAAGCACGTGTACAACGTACCAGTCCAGCCCCCCATCGGTCGCTTTTGGGGTGCGCTAGCCGTCAAGCACCGCCTGTGGTAGGGTCTCGTGGGCGCGCCTCGTTGCTGCACAACATGCGGATTCGGGATACCGCCATTCGTGAAACCACAGCTAGTGGGAGTTCCCAGGAGACCGGTACCGTCCGATCTGTGTTCGCTCAGTGGCCATTCTCCAACCACCCAGCGGTATGACCTCCGCGACATCGTCTCATGGTTTGTTGACACGCCGGTCATTGGCTCCCATGGCCGGAGAGATTTGGCCACCCCCGCCACACCTCGCGAACGGTACGTATGTACATATCTGGACAGTCATTAAAAAATGGAGAAGCAAACATGACACCACACCCGGCAGACCCGGGTTGCCCTTCCGGAGCAATATGACGGCACACAAACTGCGGATTTTGTTGAACTAGTAGCACATTCGACACTCGGATTCATTTCGACAAGCAGGAGACGTTGACACGAAACACGACCACGTTTTCCCCGTCCAATGACTGCCGGGCAAGTATCTGTCGCTGCTGTCCGATTCGCTGTTCCGCTTTCCGCCACAGGCCAAGGTGAACAGGCCTGCTCTCGATTCAGATGACGGCTGCATCTAACGGTGACAACTCAGACGAACCTCGCTCGTCTTGGCACCCGAACGACATGGCATTTCTGCCCAGCCCACAAATGATATCTGTTGTGCTATTTTGTTGTTCTTTTTTCTGGGCGCTGACAGCTCCTACCAGAGCACCAGTTTACTCTCCCTTTGCCCCTTGCTCTTCCCACTCGCGTTAGCTCGTTTTGGGTAGCTGCTCGAGTGGGCTGACAACTCATCGGCGTCCTAGCGGGCACCCAAGCTTTGAACCCTTGCTGTTTCTGGCAGACCGGTGGTGCATCATATTGCTTTTTCCGCACACTCTGTCTTGACCTCCCCGTCCCGGGCGCCGGGACGCACCAATTCCCGGTAGACGGCGCTCGGCACCGCACCCCCGTGCATCCACGGTGCCGCAACCCACAGCTGGCGTCGACCTCTAGATGTATATTCATACACACACATCGGGCCATGCCGTGTGCTGCCGCTTTCCACCCCGTCTGCGGTAACGTCAGGCCCTAGTGCCATGGCTTGCTCGAGTCCCAACGGACCCCGTGGCACCTTGTTCGCCGGAGAGCCGGTGACTTGGCACACAACAGCAGCGCAGGGGCCAAAAAGCAAAGAAAACGGTCAAGAAGATCGGAAAAGGAATCTTATCCATCCACCGCCTCGGATGGAGACAAGTCGTCGCCATGCCGGGACAGCCCGCCAATCCCCACACTAGGATAGTCATCATAATTGTTCAAGGTCGCTAAAATATCTGATCTTGCTCGCATTTCCCTCCAACCCCATCTACTTCCTCCGTCTACACCGGGGAGGATAGAATCTTGTCGCCTCCTACTTCCGTCTTGTCCGTCCGCCCGTCCGCGGCCACGATGCACCATCCCGCCTCCTACCCATAATCTACTCGCTGACGTCCTGCACCTTTGCGAACAAACAGGTCTCTCGGAGAGGAACAAAACAGGAGACGGCGCAAACGGGGCAGCAAGGGGCATGCAGCTTAATTAAGCACTTCAGCTCTTCGAATCCCCTGCGGCCACATCAGTCGTCTCGCAGACCGGTTGTCTGGAAACCAAAAGTGGTACCTGCCGCTACGGGCTGTCCCGAGATTATAAAGACGATCCAGGACGCCGTCAATACCTCCTCGTTCTCCTCTCTTGCTTGACTACCCAAGTACCCTGCCACGATCGATCTAGCCAAGACCCCTCCAGATCATAGCACCCTCACCATCTACGCC